AGAGGCGGCCCCCGAGTTCGGGCGCGCAGTCTTCGTGTGTGTGTGTGTGACGTGGCGGGCAAAGGGGGGAACCCGCCTTATTTCCCGGCTTTTAAAATAACGGGCACGGATGTTTCCAGTTCAGACCAGTGAGCGCGCAGCTGCTCCCCATCTGCGGCGCGATCTTGGCCGTGGCTGGGCAGTTGCGCGCCCCAGAGCCTGGCGCAGGCGGAGAGCGCCCAGCCCTGCTCTGGACTCCGCCGTGTCCAGGCGGTGCCGGTCACTCTCGTGCCCTCTGCGTGTGGCTGCCCAGAGCGCCGGGGAGGTGCCCGGCGGGTCCTTCCTGCTCTGCCCGGGGCCTCGCAGTCTGTCCCCTCGCTTGGCGCCCTGACCTCGGAACTCGCCCGCTGGGCGGAGGTCCTGAGCTGGGTAACCGCAGGGGCCGCGCGCTCCGGGAGGACCGTGCCTCGAGGAGAGTTTCAGGTCATCAGCCCCCGCAGAGGCCTCTAGGCCCGAAGACTGGGAAACTCTATGGAGAGCACCAGGCCCCACTGGGGTCCACATGCGGCGTTTATGAATGTCTACGTGGGCCTTGGGTCTTCCGCCAGAGCTGCGGGAGCCCTGGCCCCCGCTGGCTCTGAGGGTCGCTTGGGAAACGGCGCGGGCGCGGAGCAAGCTGTCTGGAAAGTTGAAAGCCTGGTGGTTCTTCCTGCGGCCTCAAAAGACGCCATCCTGAGGGCAGTAGGGCTCCGGGTTGGCGGCGGCTCGGAGGCTGGCGCTAGTAGGGTCCTTGTCCTGGCTCCTGCCTTTCGGCTTGACCGAGGGCTGCTGTGGGGCTGCGGTTAGGCAGGCCCCAGACACCCAGGCATCGAGCCCCAGCCTCCCAGCCTCCAAAGTGGGCACTCCCCCTTTACCGTCCAGTGTCCCCACGAGGTGCAAGGGACTGCTACTCCTAGCCTGTGCGCCCTGGGCCTTAGAGCACATCCTCCCCCTTAGGAGCTTAAATTCACACTGCTGGCCCGCTGGACTGCTCTGCCTCCCACCTCCACCTCTTTTCTGGGCACCCATCCTCAGGAGGCTGCTGAGTGTTCTTTGAGATGAGTCTCTATTCCCCGAAGAAGGGGGTGCTGCCCTCCCCTGGAGTCCTCCAGGCAGATGGGGAAGGTCTCTGGGGCAATTCGAGGAGGGAGGGAGTTCTCTGGTCCCCCAAGAGGGCTGTAGAATGGGCAGGCATGAGAGGCCACCCAAGGTCAGCAGGCTGGACCCGTTTTGGGGTGGCCATCTAGAGAAGTCCTGGTGTACATACACCCCTGGCCCTGGGTGGCTGGCTGTCAGGAAGGCAAGTCCCGCAGCCCCAGATCCGGTTGCTTCCTCTGGGCAGATCCCTTTGGAACAGATACTGAGGTCCGAAGAGGCAGAAAAGCAAGCCCCAGAGCTTTGGGGTGATGTCACTGCCCTCTGCGGTGATGCCAGCAGCCCCCTGGCTCCCATCCCTGAGCCACACTCATCCTTTACTCCCAGAGTCCAGCAGGACCTCCCTCTGAGCCCCAGACACCAAGACCCCTCTGTCTCTGGCCTGCTCTGTGTGGGGTGTCCCCTTGTCTTCCTGACCATTTCAGCTATTTAGTTCAACTGGCGTAAATCTTTCTTCCTAAGCTCCTACCACACGTTGTTGCCCCTAGGACAACACCAAAAAACTGTGGCCCAGAATGGAAGCCAAGAGCTGGAGCATTTTCTCTGCTGTCTGCTCCACCTGAGCTGTGAAGCAAACCTGGTGCCTGGCCTGTCATTTGTGCACAGCCCAAGGGCAGGCCCTACCTGACTCCCAATCCTCCAGGACACACAACAGGGAGCTTATTTCACCTCCTGGGTGGTGCTGGGTGGTCCCTGACCACCTTGCAGTTGAGGGGCATCTTGTACAACTTGTCTTCCACCATGCAGACAGGGAGTCTTCAGACCCAGCACCTCAGAAGCCCATCTCCCTGTCCCAAGTCCCACCTCCCCGATACCAGCTATGATCCTGACACCAAGTCCTGGGGAAGAAGCTGCCTCCTGGTGCGAGCTTGCTGGGCCTCCTGGGGGCCAGGCCCTGCTGGGTGGGCCCAGGGCTAGGAGAGGGGCCCTGTGAATCAGTGGGGCGTCTTTGTGGTGCCGCTCCTGACATCCCAGCAGCTCCTGAGCGGAGATTTCATGGTGATGCTGCTGGGGGCCCTCGCCAGCGGAGGAGAGCAGGGCTGTCGGGGTGACCTAATTCTCATTATGCCCTGGTGGTGTCAGGACTCCGTCAAGCTTCTCGGGTGAAGGTTAGCGCACTGGAGTGGGGCTGCTGGGGACTGTTCCCAGTCTGCAGTCAGGTCCCCCCTGCTTGTCAGAAGCTCTTGAGGAGGGAGGGGACAGGCTATGATGAGAATGATGGGGTTGGGAGCTGTGCCCTGTTTTGACACTGGTCACCCAACTCCCTTTCTCTGAACACGGCCTATCTCCTGCTGGACCTTATGTCCTTACCAAACATCACAATTTTGGGAGGAATGAGACAATCCCTCTGGAAGCTTCTTTGCCCCATCTTGCTCTTCTTACCCCAGGGCTGGGGCACTTGACAGCCTTGGGACTTGGGGTCCAGAGAATGAGGCACAGCCAGACTAGCTAAAGGTTATCTGAGCATCCCTGTCAGTGTGGGGACATGGGAACCACGGCCTGCGGAGTCATGGACAAGGAGGCCCTTTCTGGCAGGGGCACCGAGATAGATGTCAACCGCCATCCTCACCCCCTCCTCCCGCCCCTGCGCCAGGCCCTGCCATGGCGCCAATCCTGGCACTTCCACAGCGTGTGGGATGTGCCACCACAGAGCACTTCCCCGAAATGAACCCCCCTCCGGCCCCAGCAGATCCGCCCAGACCACAGACGGCATGGTTCCCCTGGGCCCCCTCCCCAGCTGGAGGCTCAGCAGGAAGGCCTCCCAATGCCAGGCTCCCATGGAGGGTGGCTGCCGGAGGAAGGGAAGGAAAAGGAAGGGGGAGGCGGGGACTGAGGCGTCAACGGCCTTCCCCTCCCTCCATCCCACCCACAAAACCCCCTGGTTCGGTTTCCAGCCTCCTTTTCGTGTTTCCATTGCAGCTGAGGAGAAGGCCTCCAAAGCTGCCAACTTCCCCCAGCTGCCCTTGGACTGCCGAGGGGCCCCCAGAGACCGGCCCTCTGCCCTGCAAGGCTCCCCAGGCCCTTGCCTGACCGGCCTGCGCGTCCCTCTGTCCCCGGGCCTCCCTGACTCCATGGAGTTGGCCAAGAACAAGAGCAAGAAGCGCCGGAACCGTACGACCTTCAGCACGTTCCAGCTGGAGGAGCTGGAGAAGGTCTTCCAGAAAACCCACTACCCCGATGTGTATGCTCGGGAGCAGCTGGCTCTGCGCACGGACCTCACCGAGGCCCGGGTACAGGTGAGGGCGCCCGGGGCTCTCTGGCTGCCTCGGCCACCCAGAAAGTAAGGGCCCAGCCATGGAAGGGCTGGGAGAGGTGGGCCCTAGCGCCACACAGCCGCCTTCCCCAGGTGCCTGCGCCCAGCCTGCCCTCCTGGGCTTGCCCTTCATGCTCAGCTCCGCTGGGGCCACTGGCTGGCAGCCCAAATTAAGGCTTATGCCTGGGTGTGGGAGTGATGGCCTCTGGGAGTCAAAGACCTGTGTGGCAGTCCCATCGCCACCATGTACTGGCTGACCAGGTGATTTGGGGCAGGCACTTGAATGTCCTGGTTTGGTTTCCCGGTTCAGGAAGAGAGAAGATAGCACCACGCACTCAGGGAGTAGCCTGGAGGAGCACAGAGGGGGCAGTGTTTTGGAAGCAGTCAAATGCTGAACACTTATCAGGGCTGCTCCAGAGGTGTCTGCCGGGAGTGGGAGGGTCTCCTCTGGGGGGTCTCGGGCTCAGTGATACCCAGAGCCATCCTGAGCCAGTGACCATCAGTCCCACCAACACTCAGACCCTGGCCAGGAGCCCCACTCCACCCAGCAAACTCCCAACAGGGATTGGGCCCCAGACTTCTGGATGGGGCTGTGACCGGCTTCACAAAGGGCGGAGCTCAGTCTGTGGGAACGCGGGTGGGGATCGAGGGGTCCTGGGAACAGGGGTGAAGGAAAAAAATCCATGTCTAAGGCATTTTGGAAGTGAAGAACTGGAAGGTGGCAAGCAGGGGGTGGGGACAGGATGGGAGGCTCAGTAAGTCTTGTCTGATGGGAAGGTGGTTGCTGTAGCCTTGTTGTGACCTGGCCTGACACACAGCAGTTCCCTGACCTGCTGAGTAGGGGGGCCTAAGAGGGGGTGGTGTGGGCTTCTGGGGAAAGGCAAGGAGGCCACATCTAGATAGGAGACTTCGTAGGGGCAGAGTTCATGCTGTCGCCCCCTGCATGGGGCCTCTCTAGAGTCTATGAAGTCACTGGGGCAGGGCAGCTCTGGCAGAATACGGGGACTATCAGGCCAGCTGCCGTCTAGCAGAGAAGTCCCTACAGCTGGATTCTGCAGCAGGCCAGAGGGGCTTGGCTGTCTCCCCTTCTCTGCTGGGTCCTCCTGCTTTCATATTCCTCCCAAAACAGATTTCTGGAACTGTCCACCACGCTTCCCAGGGCCTGGGGCCATCAGAAGAAGATGGCCAGCAGTCACGACAACCCCAGATTACATAAGCCTCAGAAGTCAGAACATCAGGTCCCCCTCCAGGGGTCTCCCCAAGCCCTTGGGTGGGGTCTGACTAGCACCCCTATGGAAGTGCTTTGGGACATGGATCTCTCTTCTCCTTGGCCTTCTCAACCCTGGAAGGGTGAAGGCGTAGCCATAAGGCCCCAGACCTAGTGCTAGAGTAGGTCCCTGATGACTAAGGTGCTAGAGTAGGGACATCTTCTCTGACAGGATGTGACAGCTACCCACAGGCCCCACGGTGGAGAGGAGTAATAAGATCACACATAGGACAATACGGAGGCCGAGTCCAGCGTGCTGATGGTGGCCTGCAGTGGGGACTAGGGGAGCGGGTGGTGACAGGGAAAAATTCCCAGGAAAGTGATCAGCTTCACTGGCTCCAGGCAGCATCTGCCTTCACGGGAGGGAGAGTAGAGAAAGGAAAGCTGGGAGCTGCTGGGCAGCTGGGCCGAGAGCTGGGCAGGCGGGGTGGCCCTTCCCTGAGCTTGCCTATCAGGTGGGGAGTCTGCAACTCAAGGTTAGGGGAAGGGGTGTACCGTTTCTCAGCTCAGGGAAGACCATGGAGGAGTATGAGGGACTGGGGTGGGGTTACTTTGACAAGTGTGCACACACATATACACACAGCTTCTCTGTTGCAGCCCTAGCTTGATCCCTAGAAAGCAGGAGAATGGTTTTGGTTTGGCTCAGTTTTGATATTGCCAACATCTAGGCCAGAGGCCGGCACAGAAATGTTCATGAAATGTTCATGAAAGGTCAATGCTGACATTCCTGGGGCACACTCCCAGTGACAAACCCATCACAGAGACGCACACAGATGTGCACAGCACATGACATGCCCCACCCCGGCTGCCAGGAGCTCACAAATGAATGGGGGAGACCGACTCCCAAACGGACAGTGGTAAGGGGATGTGGTCTGAGAGAGATGCTGGGGTACCCAGAGTCCAGCGCACGGTGCCAGCTCAGACGCATGGGGGGCGGGTAGTGCAGACAGGGAAACCTGGGCAAAGGCAGGGGGAGCAAGGGGCGGGGCGTCTCAGTGGCCAGCTGGGTGCAGGCAGCTAGGAAGGACCGCGTGCTGCCAGGCAGGAGGCGAGGCTGGGGAGGGGCAGGGCCTGGTTGAAAAGCTGGGCTCTGGGCTGAGATTTCCAGGAAGCCACTGAGGGTTAAAGTGGGACCAGGACCTGAACAGAAATACCTTTAAGATTCCTCAGATGCCGTGAGGTAGGAAGACTGGGAACGAGATGAGGCAGGGGGCTAGAAACCCAACACATCTGCACTGGTACACCTGGGAACCCCTGAGGCCACAGAGCCCCATGGCACCCTTACCCGACACAGCCACGCTGGAGAACCAGAGAGTGGTTCAGCCCGGGAAGTCAGTGTGTGGGGGGTCTCTCTCGGGCCCCATCCCAGGCTCTGAGGTCCTCCGGCCCAGAGCCAGGCCCCCACCCTGTGGGGCACAACCATTGGCTCTCCCCCCAGCCTGCCCCACTCCTTGGGGCCGCTTTCTCACCGCCCCCCACACCTCCCCTGTCTGTCCCCAGGTCTGGTTCCAGAACCGCAGAGCCAAGTGGCGGAAGCGGGAGCGTTATGGGAAGATCCAGGAGGGGCGGAACCCCTTCACGTCTGCTTATGATATCTCTGTTCTTCCCCGAACAGACAGCCACCCCCAGGTGAGACCCTCCCCCTCGTGCCCCGAGTCTCAGCTTGACCGTCTCCCACGGGGTAGCCAGCAAGAGGTGAGCTCTGGCCCTGGGGAGACCTGGAGTGGCATCGGGTACTGTGTGACCGTGGGCAAGTCATGCCTTCCTCTGCCCAGCGGGGCCTTAGCCCCCTCAGTGACGCATACAGAGCAGCAGGCACAGAAACCACTGAGGAAAACCCATTTTGAGAAGCAGTGGCAGGGGCCTCCTGAGATGCCCCCGTGAGTGTTGGGGGGTAAGAGGGCAGCAGATTCTAGACCTGGGCCAGGTGGGGGCTTCTCGGAAAGTGTCTGGAGCGCTAAGTGTCTGGTTAGGGAGGCAGCCCCTGGGGCTCCTGAGTCATGGGCTTGCTTTCTCTTTGCAGCTGCAGAACTCCCTGTGGCCCAGTCCAGGGTCTGGGAGCCCGGCTGGCCCCTGCCTCATGTCTCCGGAGGGCATTCCCTCCCCATGCATGTCTCCGTACTCCCACTCGCACGGGAATGTGGCTGGCTTCATGGGGGTGCCAGCCTCCCCCGGAGCCCACCCTGGCATCTACTCCCTCCACAGCTTCTCCCCTGCCCTGGGGGACCACAGCTTCGAGCCCTCCCCGGATGCCGACTATAAGTCTCCAAGCTTGGCCTCGCTCAGGGTGAAGCCCAAGGAGCCACCCAGCCTGCTGAACTGGACCACGTGATCAGATGTGGGGACACGCAGACTGAGCTGCCACCCCCTTCCTGTTCCCGGCGGCTCCCACCCCACCCTGGCCTGGCTGCCAGAGAGGACTCACCTTTGCCTCCAAGCCCAGACAGAGCGGCTGGGACCCTCAGCCTCCCGCTGAGTCTTTTCTCTTAGAATAAGGCGGGGCTGCCTGGGAGAAAGGGGCTTCGAAGCCGGTAGGACTCTTCCTACCACACACTGGGTCCCCTCACCCAAACGCTGGGCTGGAGAGAGACACTCTCCGGCTTCCCCCAGACGTCGTCCCTCCAGCTGAAATGGCGTCACTGGCTCCTCATTGGGGAAATGCAGAAAATGGGAGGAGGGCACAGGCTGAACCAGAAGTTCTTGTGTCTTCAGGGAAACCAGGACCTTGTATGACCACCTAGGGCGGCCTCACTCCCCCTCCCCACCACCAGGGGGCGCACACCCGCACCTGGTGTTGACAGGGCCGGGACTCTGGAGATGCAGGGTCCCCCTGCTCCAGCCATTCCTTCCTTCTCCCTACACCCCCTCCCCAGCGTGCCGTGAGCCCTCCCCCTCTTCCAAGGGGGCAGAAATTCAACCAGAAACCGCCAAATGTTTGGATTCTCCTCCATGGATTCGGGCTAGAGTAGACTGCCTTGGTTTACTCACTGGGCATTGATAAGACTCTGAGCCTGAGATCCCAACCCACACTTTTGTAAAGATGCTTTTGTAAAAAAAAAAATTCAAAAATGTGCTGCCCAGCATAATAAAGGTGGCAGTATTTTTTGGACCTGGTGATTGCCTATTTCAGGGTTTGGCACTGGATTCCTCTAGCACTGGTCTGTGCTCAGGGCCCAGGCTGGGCCAGGCCCTCCGGAGGAGCCAGCAGGGACCCCCGAGTCTGGGGAGGGTGAGCCTGCAGCAGAGCCCCCAAGGCTGAGGCATGCCATGCCTGGCCCTGTCACCTGTAGCTTTGGCTGGTGTGGGAGGCAGGGAGAAGAGCCCAGCTCTCAGCTGCTAGGCTCATTAGGAAGGGAAGATTGGGGGTGGGAAGGCGAGTGAGAAAGCAGAATAAGCTTGTGGCTAAGCTGACAATGGAAGGGGAGTGGAATGGAAGAGCAGGGAGCCCACTGAGAGCTCTGAGCTCCCCCGGGCCAGAACCCCAGAGCCATGGGGGTGGGGCAGCTGCCTTCTCCCAGACGCCCCAGGAGCATGTCTGAGCTGTGGGGCAGAGACGAAAGCCAGGACTCTTTCTTGTGGTTTCAGAGTATTACCCATTCTATCCTTCATCCCCACATTCTGCCTTATCTCTGCAGCCCGGAAGGCAGGAAAAAAGCAGTGCTGGCCCTCCC